CCCCAAAACCCCAAAACCCCAAAACCCCGCAAATAAAATTGATATAAATTAAGTGGTTTAAATGGAAGTTGATAAAATTAATAATATTCAGGATCTGAACTTAATAAAAAAGTTGATAAGGGGAATTATAATTTATAATTATTTCAGTTAATCAATGGGTGGTGGAAACTCTAAAAAGGCAAAAAAAGGTATTAAAGAAGAGGACATGGTAAGATCCTTAAAAATAGATAAATAATTCCCCAAAGATCCCTTCACAAATTTAAATGCACCTAATGTTGCTGTTCCTTTCGAAGAGAAAAATGCTTTGCCAACTCTTTAAACCATGAATACCCCCAAGAATGAGAAAGGCAAACCATATGGTATTTTAAAGAATACTAATGAAACTGACAAAAAAGCGCCAAGATACAAAAATGGCTACATCATTGATGACGTTCCAGTTGTTAGGGAAAAGGTTTCTTAGGGATAAACGTGAGATTAAACTTCTAAATCTTAACTAGAGACAATAAATTAGCTTTCTTAAGCGGAAGAGTTGTAAAAACCTAAAACAAACATTTAAGCCAAATCTACAACAAATGCCTTCATCTATAATGAAGAGATAAATTTTGGGGCAAATATTAAAAATGAGTAGAGCGAGTAGTAATTAGTCTATCCTTCCTAGTCTCAAAACAACTAGTAGTAGGGTATAAAGAGCGATCAGAACTAGTCTTAAGATTAGGAAGCAGCTGGAGAAATTAAGCCCTAACAAATGCTTTAAAGTAACGTAATAGTTAAGGCTAAACAGAATTAGCCTCTACCAATGTCGATTGATGTGTAATTTAAAGCTGATATTAACACTGTGGGATATAAAAATCACAGGCGAGGTAAAACCTATATAAGTTAATTAGCAGGAAGTGCATATGAATTTAACAGCCAGGCAACATTAGCCGGGGCTAATAAATCTATAGTTCATGGAATGGTGGATGATATAAGAGCCAGCCAAGACAAAGGGGATGTAATAGATCTCAATGAGCTATAAAGTTATATATCTAAACCAACAAAGCACATAATGTTTTGAAGTTGATATGTTAAACTAGGCAAGGATGCTTAATCTATTTTATACCATTATATATACAGAGAATTGTAGATGCAAATAGTTTAAACTCATTTACTCTATTTATCACATATCTTTCTTGATGGGGTTTTGGGGTTTTGGGGTTTTGGGGTTTTGGGGTTTTGGGG